GCTTGCCTACATCATCAGGCACTGGTGAACTACTCAACTGTCAGCCCCTCTCTGGAGCCTCCCCAGAGGTCAAGGTTGGGTCTGAATGTTCCAACCACCTAATCACGGGGTTGATTCCCCATCCTGAGGCTGTCCAGGAACCCACCAAGAGTTGCCTCATTAGAACAAAAAATATTTCTATCACCCAAGAGATGACAGGAGCTCTGTGTCAGAAAACAGAGTCAAAGACCACATATAAAAGAATCTCCTGGGGATGGTGCCTGTGGCTTAAAGGAGTAGGGCGCTGGCCCTATATGCCAGAGGTGGTGGGTTCAAATCCAACCCCCACCAAAAACTACAAACAAACAAACAAACAAACAACAACAAAAAAAATCTCCTGGCATCCTTTTAGGAGCTGTCTTAGGAACTGGGTAGAGATTAGACTTATATTTCTTATTATGTCACAAATCACTAATAACAACAAAAGGCAGCAAGAGGAACAGAGAAATAAAAGCACAGGAGGCATGTACACAGCAACAAAATGGAAATCTGAACACACCAATAATTTCATGAAAGGTAGATGCTCATTGAGGACTGCATTACTGGAAATAATACCAGCCGACTGTGCAGGGCCTGTGCTGAAGACTTCCCAGGTCTGCTTTTAATCTGCAAGGAACTTCTGTAGGGTGTGTGCTGCTCTGATTTCCACTTTAGAAATGAGGAAACTATTGGAAAGAGGGGTTGACGAGCTTGCCAAGGGAATGATAGAACAAGAAAATGAAATCGCTTCTTGGAATCCAAATAACTCAAACAATTGAAGAACCTAAACCCAACCTGAGTCCAGATACAAAGCAGCAGAGGACTTGGGAAAGGAGCACAGAGTGGGCCACTGTCCTCACTGGCTCCCTATGACTGAATCCTGTGGTCTTCACAGCAACCTTCCAGGCATGTGGTACGACTATCTTTCTGTACAAGCAACAAAACTGAGGCACAGGGAAATCAACTTGCTCAAGGTCACGTAATAAGTGCATAATCTGGCTGCAAAGCCTGTGTCCATGTTGCCTCTCAATACATCACGTTTCCCTCCCCTCCCTACATCAGTAATGGGCGCAGGGGAGCAGGCAGGTAGCTCAAAAAAAGGAAAGGAGATTTCTACATCGTTTCAGGTCATTTCTTCATCTGTTCATTCATTCATTTGTAACTACTCTCAAATTTCCTGCTTCTCCCTCCCAGGAAAGGAGCCTGGGCTTGGCATTAGAAAACAACTACTGCGTTTAGTGACCCCATCCTGTGAATTAGGTGTTATCATCACCATTTTATTGATAAGGAAAGTGAAGTGTTGAAAAATTAATCACCAATGATCATAAAACTTGTATGTGATGGTGCCAAGAATTGAGACCAGGTCTTCCTTTCCTCAAAGTCCACATAGTTCATGATAAACCTGGGGGAGGCAGGGGAGGGAGGTGGGGAGGGATCCTGGCATTCAGACTCCCTGTGTCTTACTGATCCTTTAATTACTTTGATTTCAGGTGATCAGTGGTGAACTGTCAGCAAGAAGTGGCACATACAAAAATACAGTTCTATTGTGTTTAGCTTAATTCTTTATTTGAACATCAAATAGGTTGAGAAAATTGTTTACAGGTGCTCAAGCATCCCGCTGGATTCTTTATTTTTTCAAGGTGCAAAAGAGGTTTACAAGTGTGTTCCATTAAACAAAGCAAAGCTGCAACAAAAACCCAATCACATCAATAACAGGGTGCATCAGCGAAAGGGCATATTAATCCATCAAACACAATTTAGCATTTGAGCCTTTTCCCATAAAACAGGAGCTCTACACTGGAGAATATGGAGTGCACGAAAGCATTGTTGATAAGCTGTGAGAGAACATAAACTGGCATAATGTCACTTATTATTTCAAGTCTCTGTAACCAATGACCTCTCTGTGAATGCAGAGGGGTCCGTGTCTCAGGCACCTGCTTATGGGACAGTATATTGTTTCCAGGGTGCACAGCTCTGTACACACACACAAACACACACACGGAAGATGGGTTTGGAACACGGCAGCATTTACATATTTAAAAAGTTCAGGCACAATTGGATGCAAAAAAAAAAAAAAAGAATAGAAATTTTTCTTAAATCTCTGAAAGACAGTGCAAAATTGAAGTGCCATAATAGAGGCAGCAATTACTTAGAAAACAATTTTAAATGACTTAAAACGAGGCCACAGTTGAATTCGAATGGAAGGGAAACACAGTGAGAAACAGCATCATCACACTACTGAAAAGATGGATATCTGGGACCACAGTTCATTGGCTCCAGCTGAGCATGTGTTTTCAGGGCATTAACCTAGGAAGGGTGCAGAGTAATCTGGATCAATCTCCCAGAACCTGCACCAAACAGAATTATGAGCTACTGTCTGACTCTATTTGCCTTTCTAATAACTAGTTTTGCCAAGAAGAACTGCCTGTGCATATGAGACATTACTGTGGTTCTGGTGGTCATTCCCAGTATCCACAGTTCATCTCGTGGTTGCAAAGTATGACCAGGAAGGGATCTGTAATTGGTGTCATGCAGGAGGAGGGCTACTCTAAACCAATGGCCTAAATCACTGGCTGTTTCTGTGTATAAGACTTCAATGTGAGAACACCTTAATGCAGTCAAAAGTAAATTATCAGTAAGGCCCTTATTTTGTTCAGCCCCTCAAAGGCATGGGATATGGTGTGCTTAAACATACTGGCAAGGGGACTAGAGAAATCTAATCAAAGGATGCACTTCCTTGGGGATTTTACAAACCTACGTTAGTAGGTTCTCTTTGGATGACCAAGCCACTCTTAACTGCTGCATGAGACCATTACAGAATCCTGACAGCAAGCTGGGTAGGCATGGACGAAAGGGAACACAGACCACTAGCCACACCCTCAACTGTAAAGCTGATGTTGTTCTTTCTTCCCTAGAACTGGAGCTGCCACTCTAGAGATGGCTAGGAACATCAAGGGAGCTAGTTATCTGTGGTTTATAGGGCAGAACTGAAATATTGAACCCTGGTGCAATCCCTAGCCTCCATCACTCGTTTGCCTCAAAAGACTTTCAATACACTTATTACTATATTTCCCAGTCTCCAAATTCCTGAGCCCACTTCCCTAACCCTACCCTGACCTCCCGGGTAAATCACATCTTTCAAATTTCAAATTGCCTGAGAGTGGGAGAGAATCACAGGCAACAATTCTCCAGCACGTTTCTTCCACCCAACAGCAACACGAGCTGGAAAATATCAACTGTCCGTTAAGGGCACTTCAAGTAAGAGTTAAAAAGATTTCCAAAATCGTTTTGAGACCCCTGGGCTGACATTTCAACCATCTGGTGCTCCCTGCCCATTTCACACATAGTAGTTATCTTAACATGAATACAAATACATTAGATGAAGAATGTAAAACCCTCCACATATTATGGTTTGGATTTAGCTGGTATTACATCATCTATAGTCCTAGAAGTATGTTTGTGTTTGGTGTTTGGTTTTTTTTTTTTTTTTTTTGGTTTTGTTTTTATTTTTTTAAAAGAAAATCTAAGTATAAACATTAAAAAGAACCCACTGACCCATTTAGCTACTGTCCAAAAATATTACTACTGATATTTTGGTAAAAGCAAAATTAGCTGCCCTGAATAATTTAATTTTCCTTTTCAGGCATAATCTTTGCTACATAAGATTGTCTGTCACTCAATATCCAACAATAGGCATCTGGATTAGTGCTATTTTGTCTACTGTGGATACAAAAGTTGATATGAAATGTGATCTTCATTCAAATGAATAATCACCAGGCTTTAGGCATCAATGACTGTGTACATGACAAGGTAGCATGAAAAGTATATAAAAAACTCAATATTTTTCCTTGGTTTTTGCATGTTAGCCCAAATCAAATCCAGAACAGAATTATTACATTCAATTGTCTGATAACCAAGCAATGCGATTGCAAAAAAATATATATTATACTATGTAAGGTGCTTCTTAAACAAACAACAAAAGAATTCTATTCTTAAACATATTCTTACAGGTACATAAAATCGCCCCCAAATTTAAACGCACATCTATGAAAAACTTTTTTTTTTTTTTTTTTTGCCCTCCCAGATTCCCAGTCCTTTGGCAATCACTTAGCTGGATAATCAGCGATTAGTGCAATCAACTCTTCCAAACATACCAAGAGAAGCACTAGCAGCTTACCTGGTGTGCTGGTTAACCCATCACTTCTCAATGGGGGTTGAATTATAGACAATGAAATCTCCAGGAGGCGACCAAACTTTCTTTTTAGTTAAGAAAAGAAAATAACCCATAATTGTGCTAGAGAAACAAAGGCCCACACCAGGCTGCCCTGTGACAGGAGCAAGCCTGTCCACTGGGGCTGACACTGGGCTCCATTCAATCAGGGCCATGCTGGAAATGACTACCCCGTGGATCCCACAGCAGCCCCGGAGTGCAGTATGGGGTCCGCAAGTAGAAACCTAGGTAGCTGCAGCCTGTGGCAGGACCACCCTGAGCAAGGCTGACTGTGCCTCGGAGTTGTATCCAGTTCTTCCCCTAGTTCCCTTCTTGTTCTCTAGTTGCCAAGATAACCCTGCAGCAGTGGGGTGCTTCTCACTCAGAACGCCCTCACAGGTCATCACGGGGCACCACACCTGAATAGTTCCCCCATATGTAAGTCACACACACTCTGCTGGTAAATGTGACCCTCTACCAGGACAGGTCCTAAAGCTGATTTTACTGCAAGTCCTGGGGGGAGAGGGCTTTCTTTTATAAAATGGAAATAAAAACAAAAATCAAGAATTTATCTCTCATACATGGGTCATTACGAAAGTTTTGAGATATGCAAAAATCAAGAAACAAAATCTGTGCAGGAACACATGAGGCCGTCCCAGCAACACCAATAAGCTGAGCAAGTTGAAACCTGCACAGGTAAATCAGAAAGGACGTCGTTGACTGTATTTCTTAGAAGTGAAATAATGGACCGTAACACAGTCTGTCTCAAAACTTTCATAATGACCCATAATGACATATTAGGAGACTGATGTATGTAGAAATGACTTAACTAAAATCAACTTGCTGTTTTCCATTGGTCCATGGGAGGTGAGAATTAACCGGAACCCATGGCCTGAGCATGGTGCTCTGGAAAGCCAGCAATAGAGCTTGCAGCTAGCCTGAGGCTGCAGTGTACTAAGTTGCAATAGTCTTGGCAATTAGAGGATCTTCCTTCTCTATGTGCATCTTGTATTCCTATAGGGGAAATGAATAGACAATCACTTAATACTCTGCTATCGGAGTGCAAAAGCTTTAAGGTATCACTTGAATAAAATGGCACATCACTACAGGAATACAAGAGGGGTCTATAATGAACCCTGGACCTAGCTTTCTCCAAGTCAGCAGTTAAAGGAGCCACTTTACATTCTTTCCTGTGGCTTATTCTTCAAGCCATTCCAAAGTGCTTATCAGAGGGGAAATGTTTACTCTCCAGGTCTGGGTCTCTATAAGTAGCTTAAATGCACAGTCATCTGAGCCCCAAGCTCATAGACTGAGTTCAGTCGTGAAGAGCTATAGGAATCCTCATGCTTAGTAATATAGCAACAAAGGGGTGGGGGGAGAAGAGCTGTTACAAAGATTTAGCCCTGGAATCCCTTTGGCTGTTCCCAACAGAAGATGTACCACTAAAAACTTAACACGCAAATGAACGGCCACTCATCTAGAAAGCTGCTGGTGGTGGACGCATGCTGGAGTGTGTGCAGGAGACAGAGTTCTGCTAAAGTGACGCATGGCGGGGGGTTGGGGGGTGTGCTGCAGGGATTCGCAGAGCCTTGGGGGAGCCCGGGAGCTCTTAGATTGTGGCGGGGAAACTCTCTGCCTCCCCAGTGATATAAAACTTTTGCAAGGAATGCGATGAAGTGGAGCCAGTGCTGGCCAGCTGGCTCTGGCCCATCTCCTCTGGGGATACTCCCATGCGGGCAGCAGGGGCGTGCAGGCGGTGGGCATCCAGCATCTCTAGCAGCAGGTCGTAGAGGGGCACCACGTTCTTGCACTTCATGTTGTACAGATGCTCCATGCCTTTGTTACTGTGGGGGGAAGACACAAAGGGGAGCACTTTAGACCAGCCCCAGGATGGCTGCAGTTCCTAGGAGGGGAAGGACGGAAACTCCAAAGGCACTGGCATGTCAATCTTTCATCTTGGTTAAAGACCCATTTCCACAGGACAGCAGCTGGGACCCTGAGGACTCTCAGAGGCTCTGGTGTGGGGCTCACGTCTATGTGGGTTTCATTTCTCACCTCCTTGGAGAGCAAGCCCATCCTCCCAAAGACTCCTCTCTCTGGCCACTTTCAGGGCATCCGCTATGCTGGGGACTTCCTGCCACTGTCCTGAATGAGAGTTTATTCCCCGCGTTGCCAATGGGCCACGTACAGCCAAGCAGGAGTGAGAGCTTTGAATGTGTAAAGCAGTTCCAGAAGCTGCCCTTGTAAACCTCTCAAGTGGCTTCCCATTCAACTCAGAATAAAATCTACGCCTCCTTCCACCCTCTGCAGGACCCAACTGGTCCAGCGTCCATGCTCCTCTCAGCTCTTCCTCCGGCTCTCCCCTACCTCAGGTTCTGTCTTCACACTGGCTTTTTGCTGCCCTTAATGACACTAAGCTCCTCCCCCAGCTTTAGGGGGCCTGCATCTAATGTTCTCTCTTCCTGGGGTTCATTTCCCCCCAACCTTCAAATGCCACCTCCTCAGGAAAACCTTCCGCTACCCTAAGGGCAGCAGCCTCCAGCCTCTGCGGCAGCAGCCTCCCTCTTCTGCATTGTTCCGTTTTCCTTAGGAGGCTTCTCACAACAGGGAATTCTCCTGTTCATTTGTATTTATTCTCCCCGTTCCCAAGCACACACCTGCACCCCCTCATGCACTCACACCTGCACAGTGCAAATGCCAGAAAGCTGGCCACCCTGCCCTCTATTGTAGGCCTAGAACAGTGCCCTGCACTTGAGAAACGTTCAGAACCCAGGGGCTGTAAGGGCGCAGGCCTTTACTACTCCCTTCCTCTGCCCCACTCCCAGCCACAACCCTGCTGCCCCCTTCACAGCACTAGAGGCAGCAGGAATAAATATAATCTAGCTTGAAATTTATTTTAAAAAATACATATCATGATTAGGCAAGACCCAGAGAAGCTCCTAGAAAATATCTGTACTTTTAGTCTAGGAAGGTTGGACACCTGCCATGAGAACTCAGCATCACAGCTTCCTAGGCCTACAATAGGACCTAAGTGATGCGCTTAAGTATTATTTGTTTTTGTTTCATTGTCCTGCCTTCCTCATGAGACTTCCTGAACCACATTTACAGTCAGATGAAATCTGGTGTTAAATTCTCTGAGTAGCAACATATGGCAGGGGCCAAACTTAACAAAACAGAGTTCTGTGATTTAGATTGGTTATAATGAGGCACCAAAATATTATTCGGTGAGAGAGAGAGAGAGAGAGACAGACACCATAAGCTATCAAAGCTTTCAGGAGAATCACAGCCTCTCACACAATTCCACACAATTCCGACAGAAACACTACCCAGCTTTCTCCCTGGTGCTGTCTTCTGCCACACGTTGTCAGTAAAATCACCCAGCGTGGTATATTCAGTGAAAGTTTACTTGGTGTTAACTAATTAGGCTTGCTAATGCTGACGAGCAGTTAATGGATTTAAAAACTCAGCAATTCCTACCCACAAATAAAAACATTCAACTGCAATGCATGATTTTTACAGCATCCTTGAAATTCCTAGCTCAGAGTAAAATCTAGTATGTTTTTTCCAAGGGTGAGGTTGCTCTCGGCCAGGACATTTGGCAGAGGATATGTTATTCTAATCCAGTCCCTGGTTCCCTCTCTATGATATTCATCAAGAGCAAAGGACAGGGAAGGACTAGACATATTTACTCTGCATGCTGTCACCTACTCTACCTGGCACATGTGAGTCCTTTCTCTGTTACTCAGGGGTCTTGGGGACTCTGGAGAACAGGGACTGCAATCACTTTCTCCTAAACTTTGCTGAGTGGAAGCCTTCACTTAGGAATTTCAAATTCATACAAAGAAAAACCTGCCTTGAGTCATTTTCCCATTTATTTGTTTATTCATTTACTCACTCAGTAATAATGTTGCGAGCATATACTATATGGAAGTCTTAATGGATGGCACTGTTAAGGATACAAAACAAACAAACAAAAAATACATCTAGTTTTTCAAAAACTTAACCATTTTTCAAGGTTGGCTCCAGAGAACATGGCACCTGGGACTTTAGACAAATTTCTGGCCATTTGAATCACAGTCTCAAGATTTAAAAGCCCCTTAAAAATCAGACTCCTCAGGCATCTTGATCCTTCCCTCAGTGCCACTAAGAGAAGGAATCTCTTTCAATCCTAGAGTCCTGGGGTAAGCGCAAAGTCATGGGTGGGACATGGCCCAGGGGTACCTCCAGTGTCATCACTTCACACTATTGAAGGGCCTTTCTGGAGTCTGCAATAAAGAATCCTCCACTCTCTTCCTCCCCTCCTTGCAGGCTGAGGTCTGCTTAAGAGAATGGTGTCCACTGGGCTTCTGGCCAGCCAGCCAAGTTGCAAGACAGTTGAATGAAAGTGAGGCTTCTTTCCTCTTTTGGCTTAGAATTATTTTTTTTGGCTGATATCCTATTTTAGACCCTCTACAAAAATACTGATTGAGTATGTGCTGTGCCCCAAGATGGTGCTAGGTGACCAAGACACCTCGTGATGACGCCTTTCAGTCTAATGAGGCAGAAAAATGATGAAATGGGCACTAACTATAGGGAAGAATGAGGTGTAGGTTCCAGCCAAGTCTTATGGGCCAAGAGACGCTTCCTGCAAGGAGTGATAGTGAAGCAGAGATAGGTTTGCTTACCATTCAGAAAACTCACTCCTGCTGTCCATCTCTTTGACTGGGGCTTCCTCATGTGACTTTCCTGGCCAATGGAATGTTACTGGGCATGACTTAACCAAAGAGACTTGCTTTCTTTTGCCCCTGACATTCCTGTGGGACATGTCCCAACTAGCCTGTGCATACCAGGAGGATAAGAGACTCAAGACGCATGGGGCAGACTCACCTGGCCAACCTGCAGGGCCGGCTGCACTTGTCCCTCTCCACCTATGCCCAGGTAAGATCAGCTGCCTCACAGATGGGTGAGTGAGCCCTGCTGAGATCAGCAGAGCCCCCCCAACCAACCCACAACCTGAAGAGGAGCCTCCCCAGATGACTCAGAGAAAGGGTTTTTATGGTGAGGTTTCAGACGTGACAATGTCCTAGTATGTTAAGTAGGGGCTGAATCATGAAGAGTAATCTAAGCAAAATAAAGGGATTTATACTTTTATCTAAAAGCAATGGGAAGCCATTTAAGGGTTTTAAGCAAGGGGATGGCATGATTAAATTTGGTCTTAGAACTCGTGGAGAACAGATCACTCGTGGAGAATGGATTAGAGCAGATCTTGCTTACAAGTGGGGATTATGTTACATGGCTGGTGCCGGAATTCAACAGAAAGTGATGGAGGCTTGGACTGGGGTAGTAGCCATGGGGGTGATGGAAGGGGTTCAAGAGGTGAGAGGGGTCAACATCGATACTCCATGAGGCATCTGGAGTTTCTTATTTGGGATTTCCAAGTATAAGCAGGGGAAGTATGATACAGGGACAGACATGGATGTGCCTTCGAGGATATATATGCTCAGAGACTTCTCTTAATTGGCTTCCCCCTTGCACTCTGCACAATCCCCACCAACCCCCCGGCCTGCCCCAAAGCAGAAGCACATACTTCAAACTAAGCATAAGTATTAGTCCCTCTCTGCAGCCTTCTCTGACACTTGCCCTATGCCCCAGGCAGATTTAAAGCCTCTTTCTTCTCTCCTTGAAGAGCACGTATGCTTATTCCGTGCCAGCCAGACACTGTTGTGATTGTGCTATTGGCATCCAGCCATCAGCCCTTCCACAGGTTTGGGGTGCGCTTTCTTTTCTGTCCCTCCGTTTCTGGGAAGCCCGTGAGCCTCACCTCATGTGCCTGATGTGGGAGAGGATGAGGAGGAGCTGGGCCAGGCGCCGGTGCTGCTGCTGCAGGGTCAGGCCTGCTTTGGCCATCAGGTGGATCAAGGTGTCTGTGATCTTGTCCAGGACCCGGTGGATATGGTCTTTCTCTTCCAGAGACTTCAGGGTGCTGGACAGAAATGTGTACACTCCTGAATGTGCAGAGAGAAAGTGAGAGAGAAACTCAAAGAGGATGAGGTCTAGGAGACCCAGAGTGTCCATGGGGCATCATCGTGAGCCAGTGCTTCCCCCAGCACAGAAGTACAGTGGTGGGGATGTTCTGGACCCGTTTTAACCACTAGACTATGTAAAATTCCCAATGGATACCTGTGTCTGAGAACACCAGGAAACCAGTGTGGCCTCCTATGTGTGAGCCAGGATCCCCAGGCAGGGACTATCAGCCTGGGGGCTGCAGTGATAACACCAGCCGCTCTTTCTCAGACGGGTCTGACAGCAACACTAACTGTCCATTTAACAGGAGGACAACTCTGTGGGGACCCATTATTGTTCCTTTTCACATCATGAAACTGAAAGGCAGAGAGATTCATTAACCTGCCAGCTAACTGGGAGTGCAGGTAGCCGGGCTTAGACCCTACTCCTCCTGCTGACTCCACATCTGGTAATGATAATGGAGACTTTTTCTCAAGAGACATGAGAAACTGTTGGTGAGATTTACAGAGTGATGAGTGACTGGCTAAGTGACTAGAAGATGATTTTTCCAGGCAGGATTTAATTTGCTTCTATGTTTCAGGCCAGCTTTAGGACCTAAGCATTTCTCAGGCTCAGCTGAAAGGTTTATGACCTGGGTGGGTTTGAGGACTTTGGCAACGGCTGTTTTTCTCACTGCCAGGAAGGTTTCCTCTCTTGTGGTTACAGATCCTGCTTGCTGGGCCACAGGAAGACTCAGGATCGAAGCTGAGACCGGCACGACACACTAGTCTTCTGGACAGCATTGGCTTCAAGCTAGACAAGCAAAGCCCTTTTTTCTGGGATTGTATATGAGGTTGTGAAACAGAAATCCCTTCCCCTAGGGTTGCGGGGAGGATGAGAACATCCCTCCCCAGCACACGGAGCTCTGCTCTGCAGAAAGGGGCCTGGAGACACTGAACAGAGGTGACAATATTGGGGGGAGAGGGCAGGAAAAAGACCGCAGGTGCAAGAGGGCACGAGAGAGAGACCGAGGGATCCCCGGTCTAATCACAAGGTCCTAGTTCTTAGATTTTTTTTTTCATTTGACCTTTGAGATTTCACAGTGTCCTTCCTAACATGTGAATTGGCACATTTCCTATTCACTTATAATGGTGTGAAGTTGGGTTTCTGTCACTTGTAACGGAAAGAAGCCTGTCACCATAAGTTGCGAGCTCAGCCCAAGGACGGGAGAAAGGTGAGGGGTGAACAGGTGAGAAGTGCTGAGGACCAGAGGCAGCAGAGTGGAGCTGGCTCTTCTTGGGACAACCAGGGTGGCTCTTCTCCCCACCCGAGAGGTAAGCTCCATCCTGCCCAGGGTCACCGTCTTGCAAAGAGCAGACAACATAATATTTTTTCCCTAATTATGTGTATTGTCAACAGTTTTTTGGTCTTATCTCTCTTCAGCCCACTGACCACCCATAAGCAAACTTCTCCTGCCCTCCCCTATCCTCATAAGCACCTTTAAGTTAAAGATTCCCAAGTTTCTAAAATCCCTGACTTTACGCTAGTGACATGTCAAGGAGTTACTACTCAAGCCACCGTCTGTGGGCTGGGAATGAGGAAAACACCTACACAGAGGAACTCATAAATACAAACATCCACAGGGTGAGAATTGCCCAGAATGGAAAATGGCTAAGATTTAAGACAAACATGACACTAACAGAACCGGAATGGCCGGGAGGAATGTCACATTGGGTACCCTGAGGCACTTTGGTCCCGACAGAGCACAGATGAGTAAGCAGCAGATAGGCCGTGGGGTAAGAAGGAATTGCTGAATGACTCCACTCCTGTTCTGTGGGGGCTGCTGAAGGAGAGGCTGTGTCCATCAGAAAAATGGACAAACGTCCACAGCCACAGGTTGGCCTGGAGGCAGTGGCCCGCAGGGCGGTAAGCACTGGTGGGCTGGGCTCTGGGTGGCCTCAGCCGAGCTCCCCATTGGCTCTGCCTCTCTCAGTCCTCTGCGTCATCATACGCGGTCCCGCCCACGCCCTCCCCAGGCCCTGTCTCTGGCCCTGTATCCTGGGAACCCACCCAGGCCACAGAGCTGAGTTAGTCCAACTGGGATGACGTACTTTCCACCAATTTCCTTTCTGTTACCACCCAGATGCTGGCCTCATTGGCCTATAATCCCTTTCTTGTTTAGGAAACCACAGAATGGAGGATCAAACAGCTTGGCTGCACCTGTCTGGACCGGCGACACCTGTGCGTCGCTTCTCTTCCTGTGTGGGCCGACAGGGCTGAGGCACACCACGCTGCAGCGTCAGCGTCCCGAGGGCCAGCGTTACACACAGTCTGCCAACGGAGGTCAAAGGCTTGGCACTCACACTCAGGGGAGTCAGCTTTTGGGGGGACCGCCTATTCTCCATCCCGCGGGGTACAGGCACGCTGGGTCCCTTCCCAGCATGCATTTCCTGAGAACCTGGTTGCAGGCCCCTGCCTTACGTGTCAGAGAGTCCAAGCCTTTCAAGTGTTAATGTTTTAAGAACAGATACCGCCTGTGGAGAGAGAATTTTCTTCACTCTTGGGATGCAGGCCATCCTCAGAACAAGCCTGTTTTTCTCGTCCTGTTTTGGCACCAAGACAGCTTATCAGCTCATCCTTGTCAGCAGACGCTTCCTGGCTGTGTGCATGGACTTAGAAATAAAAGTAGGGTCCCATGGAAATGCCAATAATTGACACCAGCAGCCATCTTCCACCTGGACTCTTCTGGCAAAATGCAGCCCATGTTTGCCGCCTGTTGCCTCTAAGGGGCCATTTGACAGCCAGTATGGAACCCTAATCCCCAGAGTGCTTCATGTGCTCTGGCGGCCACTGCTCATAAGCAAGGGCAAAGCAGGGCCTGCTGATCTCCATGTCCCAGGCTCTCGCCACCCTAGATGATCACACTGGTCTTTCCAGCAGCACAGCACCAGCGAATGGGCAGCAAGGACTTTCAGAAAAACTCCCTGCAACCAGGAAGGCTTTCCCAATGCTGGAGGCTGCTCCAAATCCCAAACTTGAGAATAAAAATCTCCATATCTTTATCCAGTCTTGGAGTGTCATTGGCAGATCTGAGCTTCTGTGAGTTCTGAATCTTTCACCCAACACAGGGAGGTTCAGGAAGATTATATGGGAAATCTAGTTGTCAGAAAGAATGGGGAGCAGAGCGCCCCATGGACGTGAGATCTCATCCACCTCTCTCACTCTCGTTCTGCTAAGGCACACTCTCTTTCTCGTCTCTTTCCTGCCCTGTGATCTCCACTGTACAGGAACCCCCTCTCCATTCCTCAGTGCATTTCCAGATAACAGAGTCTTCCAGAAGCTGGAGGAGGCGGGTGTGGGCACAACAGTGGGTGTGCGCACCTGACTTTCCATGAGGGGCCCTTGCACGACCAGGAGTCCTGGCGTGCCCTCCACTGGGGGACAAGGACCTGTCCCTAAAATAATGAGACATGCTCGGGCTGGTGGCTTAATGCAGGCTTGAAGACAGATTCTTCCCAAAGGAAGAACGTAACAACAAACTCTGAGTCCCTCAGTCTATGGCAGCTTCATCAAAAAAACAAAGGAATGACTCAAAGGAAAAAGCAAAGGTCCCAGCTGTAAGTGGTCTGGACCAGAAGGCTGCTCCTTGGTGTGGAGAAGGAATTTAGAGCTTGCACAGGACCCAGTGATGAGCAGCACATCAGTCTCTCGGTTCTGGTGGGAACCGATCCCATGACTTCATCAGTAATTTGCTGGGAAGTGCTCCCGAGGCTGGTGGTGCGAGGAGCATCCTGTTTGCTGTGAGCCGCACCTGAGTCTGCTGCTCTTCCTGGAGGTGGTGCTGTCCCGATGGGTGGACTGGGGCAGTTTGAGGTTGTTGCTGCCTCTTAGTGGAAGGGGCTGTGCTGGGCGCCCTGCAAGATGAAAAATTTTTTCCAGTCCCTGTCTCTCCAAAGTCCTAATGAACTAAAACTGCTATAAATAAAAATTGGAAGATGAAAGTTTTGAAAAGCTTTATGAGTCTATACCCAAAGGTTCCCATAGGTGAACTGGCTAGAGAGGGAAGCTTCAATGGAATCCCTTTTCTCCAAATTGTTAACTAACTTTTCCCTTCATGCAATCTGTCATTGAGTGTTTTATATAAGTTTTCAATCTCAGAGCAGCTGTATGGGAACTGAAAAAACAACAAACACAATTGGGTGTAAATATGTAGAGAGGGGATGTAAGACTCTTCTAAATAAAATCAGAACCAACAATTACAAAATAGCCTCCATCCATGAAATACCAGGTGATTGCCTTTTGTACATTTTAAAATAATTTTGTAACATAATGAGAAACCTATTTTGTGAAAACTACATATTTAAATTTGTTGGAGGATTCTCATCTTTGTCTTACACTGACATTGACTCCAGAGTTTTCCCACACACTTCTAATATGTATGACTGTTTCTTTTCCAATTCATCATCACTCCCTCATTGCTCATCCAAAGGATATGGTATCTTTTAAGTTCTAGAGACTGATCGAATATTTGCCTTGCTGAAGTGGGAGGTGAAGATGGGACGAATGTTGCTCTCCACTCTGGTACCTCCTTAGCCCGCATCATAACAAAGGGAACCCCCTTCGACAATACGCTTAGACTAAAGCCCGGCTTACGTGCAAATCACGTCTTCATTTTTATTTTCTTCTACTTCAACAGTCTTCGTTTTTTCTTGGCATGTGTTTTAGTCCATTTTCTGTTGTTTATAGCAGAATATCAGAAACTGGTCATTTATAAGGAAAAGAATTTATTTCTTACAGTTATGGAGACTGAGAAGTCCAGAGTCCAGTGGCGGCCCCTGGGAGGCCTTGCTGGTGGGGACTCTCTGCAGAGCCCCCAGGGGCCCCTGGTATCACCTGGGGAGGGTGCTGAGCGAGCCAGCTCAGGTCTCCTCAGGTCTCTTTGCCTTTTCTTATAAAGCCACCAGTCCCTTTCCCATCATTAGTCATTAATCCATTAATCTAT